AGGCACGGCTATTAACAAAGGCCAGGACGCAAGGGACTATCATCCAGGTGTCAGACATGGAAAGTCTTCAGTTCAAATAACATAGACATGGTCTCAGAAAAGAGATACGTCACCACCACCTGAATAACCATTTTATAACATTAAAGAAAGTTGCACTGTATATAAAAATCAGATGAAACTTATTTTTGGATCCTCCATGACTCTGTGTGGCCCATAACATGGGTCACCCTTCAGGGAATGAAGGTTCTCTGTGAGGCCTCTTATTTTGTCAGGCAAAAGGTCATATGATTCATCTACCCAACAACACAGTGGCAGTGCTCAAAGCAGAATCAAGAGGTCTGGCTCGCCACCGTCCTCCCTGAAGCTCAGTGGCAGGACACTCTGTGATTTCCCCAAATGTATGAACACCTAAGGCTGATGTGGTTAGGTCAAACAGTAGCTTGAGCGAGATGAGGAATTCAGGAAAGGTGAATCTGGGGGGCTCTGCCCAGATTCCTCACCGTAATTTACCAATTAATGATATACTTTATAAGCATATCGAGGGGAGGTCAATGGTTATACAGAAAGAGAGAATGGGGAAAAGGATAATAAACTACAGGGCATTTGTATAACCATGATGCTATAAGACCTGACTTGCAGTTACCCTCCTGGGTACCATGAGGTTACACATAATACCTATTCAACTAAACATCTATATAAACAGTTGGTTTTCCGCAATGACAGCCACTAGTCCCACTTCAGCGGGCAGCAGTGTTCAGAGAAAAGACAGATTTAGGTCCTGTGTAATAAACACAAGAGACCAACAGAGCTAGGAAAGTTGTTGATATCTATGCCCACTAGGAACCTTTCTCTACCAAAACTGCACCGAATGAACTGCTAAGAATGAAAGCCTCCTGAACAAAACTTCAAGAGGAAGCTCTTTAAACCAGGAACTGCCCTTCATGCACCCCTAGATTTTTAATTAAAAGAGGTTTTGGCAAGACAGACTAATGAAAACCAGGTAACTTCTTTTTATACAGGCTTAATATATTTACAAGCAGCAAGTAATTCTGTACTTTCGATAGCATTTTGCTGCTTTATGCAGTATTTGGGGGACGTAAGAAGAATAATCATTTTCAAGTATTTTTTTGCATTCTTTATAGACTATATCTCATTTAAATTCTCAGAACAATTCTAAGAGGTAGGAATGATCACCCCATTTTACAAACAGAGAAATTAACCCTTTGCACTCAAGGGACATAAAGAGATTGCTGATGATTACATATGACAAATTTATGCTAGCACAAATTTTCCAAAAATGTATGGTTCTTTGAAGTTTTCCATTCAAGCTGCACCAAAAAGCAAATAAAGAGATGGAACATATGCTGAGATATGACCGATCAGTTGAGAAGTGGTTTTCAGGAATCATGAGTGTGTCCTTCTGCATCGACTTTGAACAACGACTGGACAATAAATTACATACTACTAATGTGGGATGAAGAAAATGAGACTGCATTATCTGCTTGAACAGAAAAACACGAGGTGGAAGACCTCCAACAAATTACTATTGCACAACATGTATCAATGAACTTGCAATGCACGTCGGTGACTGTTACACATGTTACCCCATGCTAGAAAAGCATAAAATATAAAATTTTGATTTTTTTTGGTCATAAACAAGTTGCCCAATTTCCAAAATTCCATTATAAGTCAAATACCACTACAGTTTAAATAACTGGTTCCAACACTATACTATGTAATATGAAATGATCCGTTTTTTACTATTGCGTAAGACAAGTGCAGTCAAGTTGCCGACAGATGATCTCAAGATGTTTCTGAGTGCACAGGGCTAAAGGACAGAGGACAGAGGGGTCTGAATAATCTGCCTGAGGCCCCAGGGCAAGTAAGCAGCAGAGGGGGCCAGAAGCTTATACCCTGACAGCTAGAGATGCAAGGATTTTATGAAGACTCGGACAATTCTCATGAAAAGAAACGCCATTTTAGAGAAAATAATTTCCAAGGATTTGACTCGAACTTCCCAACAAACAGCTCCAAGTAGACTACACAGTTGTAAGCGATCAAGTACTACAGTTACTGGTAAGGCCGAGAATAGAACACAGGTCTGCTGACCCTCGTGCCTGTGCCCATCAGGCATGTTCTTTTGGATGCTGACACCCTTCTGATGTTTCAAGTCACTTGATAATAGCAAATAAATGAGTTAACGAATCTGGGAGACATAAGAGAATGTGAGCTGGGGGTGGTGGCGAACACCTGAAATTCCAACTGCTTGGGAGGCCAAGGCAGGAGGATCACATGAGCCCAGAAGTTTGAGATTAGTCTAAGCAACACAGCAAGACGCCAATTTGTTTAAAGAGAGAGAGAGAGAGAGAAAGAGAAAATGAAAAGGATTTAGATAAGAGGAATGAGCTATAAAAAAGGGCATGGCCACAAGAAAAATTCTACCCAGAAAGCTTTGAACCAAGAACGTTGGTATCTGCACATTTTCTCATCTTCTGTGGCAAAAAGTGAAAAATAACCTTTGCTCTCCCCTCCCTGCGGGCTGTGAATGATTAGCTTGGCTATGCTGATAACTAAAGGAAATAACTAAAGGAAACGCAAGATGAGTGCCTCTCCCAGCTCATTAGACTACTTAACAGATTTACCCTACTACCAAACTCCTCCAGTGCAATGTAAAAGACAGCAGGACACCATGAATGTTCAGCAAATGTCAGCCCCAATAAATCCTCCATTGCGGCAAACAACTCTCCCATTAGTTCCAACGATGGCGCCCTAATGAAGAGCCTGGAAAAAGGAAGACTGCTGGGTGCCAGACAAGGCAGGAGAGGAGCCACCAGGCTGAGAAACAGCAACAGGAGAGACAGAAAAGAGGCACCTGGAAAAGACAACCAGAGAAGCAGCACACAAGGCTGGTGTAATGAGAATGTCTCCATGGGAGAAAAAAGGCTATTTACTTATTGAGTCACACATCATCAGTAAGAAGAACAATCAAGATCAAGAAGCTGGGAGTGGTGGCTCATGCTGGTAATCCTAGCACTTTGAGAGGCTGAAATGGGAGCTCAAGACCCTCCTGGGCAACATGGTGAGACCTTGACTCTACAAAAAAAATCAAAAAATTAGCTGGGTGTGGTGACATGCACCTGTAGTCCCAACTTCTTGGGAGGCTGAATTAGGAGAATAGCTTGGGACCAGGAGTCTGAGGCTGTGATGATCTGTGATTGTGCCACTGCACTACTGTACTCCAGCCTGGGTGACAGAATAAGACCCTGACTAAACAAAACAAAACAAAATAGAACAAGAAGAAAAACAGACTGGAAGAACCTTACCAAAGTTATTTACATCTGTTTCCACTAGGGACAGAAAATACATTTCCAAATACAGGCAGTAGATTTTAGATGTAAGCTTAAGCTTTCTATTCTAAATTTATTTTTTAAACATAAAGATAAAATAATTGTAAGAGATTTCTTGTATCAAATTCTTCATGGTTTGCAACTTCCAGCACAACAGAGATAGATAAGACTTGGGTTGAGAGGTTACAATCTGGGTGACACATCTTTAGGACAAATCTACTCAATGACCACTCACTTTTTTCACTCAGCCAAACCAAGATGCTACATTCAAGGAAAGGCATTTTAATTTTCAAAAGTACACACCAAACTTGAAATAACTGAAATCCCCATTTAAATATTCCTTTCCAGCTTGTTCTGGAAACAGCAAGAGGTAAGTTGTTTGTATGGACAGATTGGCTCCAAAATACATATTAGTTTAATATTTATAAACAGTTTTCTCTTTCTTTTATTTTTACCATTCTCATTATGACTATCCCAGCACATTAGATATATGACACATATTTAAAGTTTAATATAATCACCACTAATTGATTCAAATCACCAATTTATACAAGGCTACACTCAAAATCGTAGGATCTTTCCTTCCCATTTAGGAGTTATCACTGTCCTTCATCTATCACTGTCCTAAGGTACTACTATATACTAAAAGCGTCCAGAAAAACAGTTCATTTTTAAGTCAGTTAAAAGTAAGAGAAAAAAAAATCAGTAAACAACACCCAATCAGAAAACTAAGCAAAACAAACCAACCTGTTTCCTTTCACAATGAGTATTTTTCACCCATCTCCCACCTCCATTCCCTAAAAAAGCAGCTCAGTGTCTAGGTAGCTAAAATGGGGACCACCCCTCCCAGAGGCCTGAAGAGTGTTTCCGGTTGCTGGGTCCTGCTTCGGCCTCAGACACGGGAGTGTAAGTCCTACCGCAGTCCCTCCATTCCTTGGCCTCGCCAGAAGGAAGGCTCACCCCCACCACACCACCTGTAAGAAGATCAGGGGGGCAGGCAGTGACAGGTCAAGGAGAAGGAATCCCTTCCTGCAGCTCTTCCTGTAGTCACACTCTCAAGTTTCCTCAGCACACCTTCCTACCTCAGGCTCATCACGAGTATTCGTCAGATCTGACCTCCAGCTTTGTGAAATACCAAAGGAATTTTTTAAAAGCTCCATTTAAGCAATTTATGCAAAACCTTGTGTATCTGTCCAGTGAAAGTGCAAACTTTTAGGGCTGGAATAGTAAAGAGATAAAACTACTCTTCCAAACACAGCAACATCAAATAAAGGATAAAAAAGTATTACAGTGAGTCATAAACCTCTTAATTCTATTGTCTGGTTTCACTAATGACTTTTACCAATTACTGAACCCAAATTAGTGATAAATAATGTTTAACATTAGATCTTAACTCTCCAACAACCCCTCCCCACCTTTCTGTTCTTACAACGGAAGTCCCTGCTCTTCAAGGGGACAAGCATACCTGTCACTTGACTATCTAAAATCATTAGCTAAAAGGAAAAGCCAAGGAAGTAAAACAGAACTGCAGAGGCCAGCCTGAGTCTGAGCATAGCAGAGGGTTAAAGGAAACCATTTCATAAGATCAAACGTGGAGAAGCAGCAGGAGCAAAGAGGAAAAAATCAAGTTACATAAAGTCCGACTATACTCACTGTTTCCTTATTGGGAAGCAGCTCCTTTTTGATTCTGAAGAAGTTCTTGCCGTACTGCCTGAGTCCCTTAACGAAGCGTTTCTGCGATAAAAAGAAACAACAAATGGGATGTAAAACCAAAACCAAAACAGGATGTCAGCAAAGCAAAGACATCTACAATCAGCAGAATAACAACGACCAAAAAAGTCTCGGCTGCGGAACACAGGCTGGGCTAGGAGGGAATCTGGGCAGCACAGCTGAGACCCACCGGCCGGGCAGGCCCGACAGCCTCCATCAGGACCGCGATCCCACCGCCCAGCCAGGGCAGCACGACGAGAAGGATACCCTGTGCCGGAAGCTGAGAAGCAAGCTGTCCCCTCTGCCACCAGACACAGCCTGGCGCTCGAAGGTATAAACAAATCAGCTCCATGTTTTAATAAAACAGCACAACTGCTTTCCCACCCGAGAGCCAAGCTTCCTAGAAGTGTGGAGCAGAAAGGGGAACAGACCCGGACGCGGAGACTCTTCTCCAGAAGGGCCCCTGCAGGGTTAAAAGGCCCCTTTCCTTAATCCAAGGAATTCGCCAGCAAGGCACCGACAGCGCGGAAGCCCACTGGGAGCCGAAGCCCAGCTGGCCTGCCCCGCCATCTCCGTCATTAAAAGCCACTCCAAGCCACCAAATAAAGAATCATCAGCACCCCTGCCCCCCTCCCGACGCCCCCCACGTTCGCAGCAGTCTCGGGCTCGCCCCGAGCCCGGCCCGAGACTTTCACTTCGTCCCATTCCTCCCGAACAGCGCCCGCCCGCCC